AGACAAGCGACAGACAAAACAACAGCGCAGCCGCCGTCGCTAACCGAAAGCTTCACATTTAGCCGTTCCATTGCCAAATCGTTTCAATGCGCGCGCGTTCTCTCTCTCACTCTCACTCTCTGACGCTCTCTCACACTGATGCACGCACACCATGAACGCTCAAGTATGCGACAGGCAAAAACAACAACAACAGCAATAAAAACAACAACAGCATTTGCAATAACAACAACAACGTGCAGCCGGTTTTTGATTGTAGTTTCAATAAAAAGGGCAAATGCAAAGTGGTTTGGTTAGGAAATATGCCAAAACTTACACTTAAAATATAAACATAATGTTAAAATAGTATGGGGTAGGGGGTGGGTTACATGCCCTACTGTTACTGCGAGCGCTGTTCGTTTTATTCCTTTTTCTCATTGTTTCCGAGCGCTGCTCAAACCCGCTCACGACTAGATTGAAGCATTAACTAAATTTGCTTGCGAATGGCTCTGTGTTTTTTTTTTCCTCTTGCGATCTCTCTTTTCGCCTGAAAATGAGACAAAACTACTCTTCTGTTAAAAATGAAACACGCGCTCTCGTGCTTAAGCGAGTCCAGCCTCTCTCTCTCTCGCGTCGTTTCACATTTAACAGCATAGCTAACATTAACAGCGCTGCAGCTGCTGCTGCTGTTTAACAGCAGCAAGTGGCTATGGGCTTTAACAGTTGTTGCCGTTCCATTCCAATTGCGTCTGCTGTGACATTATTCTAAAGCGGACAAACAAACAAACATATGTATTTACTTAATTCATCTGCTAACTGTTGTCTATATATGCAGTTCAGCTTGTATGTGCCTGTGTGTGTGCATGATTATTTGCTTCGCCCAGACGCTTGTCTAAATACAATTAATGCATGCAGGTGTCACTGTTGTTGTTGTTGTTATTGTTTTTGTTGCTGCTGTTTCTAGCAAAATGAATTTCACTGTCACTCGCGCTGCCGTTGCTGTTGCCATCGCCGCCGCCGCTGCCTCCGCCGCCGCCGCTGCTGCTGCTGCTGCTGTCTTGAGCCGCCGTGCAAAGTCCGAGAAATTAAAGTGTCAGACAGCCGCGGCCAGCTGTAGACGGGCGAAGGGCTGTGCGGCTGTGCGGGGGCGGGCTGGGCAAACCGCACGTTAATTAAGTTTATTTATGCAGCAACTTTTTTGTTGTTGCCGCTGCCTTGTTTTTTATTTTTATTTTTTTTGTTGCTTTATTTATATTTTTAATGATATGAATCACATGTGACATTCTCATTTGATTATTGCCCCAATGCAAAAAAAGTATAAAAAAATAAAAACCCGCCCCGCCGCCGGATCACAGTGGGTCGAAGTGTCTGCCGATCGGTACCAGGTCCGGTCGCTCCCCAATCTTTTTTTTTTTCGTATTTTTTCTTGGCGGCCTTTTGTTTTCTCTGTCTGCGCCTTGTTGCTGTTGCTGTTGTTGTTGTTGTGGTTTTGGTTTAAAAATAGCCTCTAGCAGCTACTAAAATATATTAGCGCGTCTATAAATTGTTTTTAACGTTTGGGTTTTTATACCCAGCTACCTTTAAGTGTCCAAAAAGGGTAGTCTAGCCGGGCCAAGAGATGTGTCTGATAGCTATGAAACGTATCTCATAGATACTATCTCTAAAGCTCAAGTGAATTCGCACGCTGTAAACCAACTGTCGCTGTTAAAACTAAACAGTGTTGTAAACTGCCAACAGAAAGTAGCTGAATGCAGTGTTAAAAGCAGCTAATGTAGCTTTGAAAACAAAAATAGTTAAAAATAGGTTTTCAAAATATTTTAGTTTAGTTTCAGTTCTCTGAAAATAGCTAGAAATGGCTGGAAAACAGCTAGAATTGTCAACACTGAAACTGAGCCGCTTTCTATGCAGCTTAATACGCTTTATAAACACAACTTGACTAAAAAGAGGATTCCCAATACTTTAATTTATTTTAAATTTAAGCCCTTTCTCTCTGACGTTTCTTGAAAATAGTCACATTTAGCTAGAAACTAGCTGTGTTCATAACAAACAAATGTATGAACACTTTTTTGGAAAATAAAGATTTATTTTTTATTTAAAGATTGATGATAATAGTTTTAATGATAATCTAGTTTTCATACTCACTTTCAGTTTTTAAGACGAACTAGAACTCGAAACTTAGTTTTTGAGGTACTTAACATGGGGCGTACTCGGGTCAAGTGTTGACAACTTCAGTCTTTCAGCTAAATCTCTTCTTTATGTTGTTATATATATGTATATATCTTTATTTGTTGTATCACCTTGCCGATTTCTGGGAACTGTTCTTCAACAAACGCCCCTCGACTGGCCCAGCCCCTAAACCACGAAATTGTCACAGTTTCGGCTTGTTTTGTATTATTTTATTTATTTCATTTTATTTTTTTGCTGCTGCTGCTGCTGCTGCTTACTGTTGCTCCGTGACGACGACAACAACAATTGAGACAACTTATCATGAAGTGCTAATTAACATTGTCTGGTCGGGTCTCGCCATATGCAGTACCTGTCTGGCGACCTACCTGCGGTTACTAAGCTCAACCTGCCGGCCCCAGCCCCACCGACCCCATCCACCCCCAACCACTGGCACACAGGCGAAACGCTGCCGTCAGTCGACAGTCGAAATACCAAAAAAATATATATATAAAAAAAAAAAAACCAACCGCAACTCACCCAAAACTGGCACTTGGTAGCGACGACGTCTGTGTTTGCTTTGGCGCACAATGCGAACGAGCCAAAAAAAAAGTACAAAATACAAAAAAAAAAAATGTACATGCCAAAAACAAAAAAAAAACGACAAGTACAGACACTGAGCAAAATAATAGCCAAAGTCGCAAATGTTTTTTGAATTGCAATAAAATTGAGCTAAATGATGAAAAGCATTGATGCAATAAATTCATGCTCTAAAACCAAACAAAAATTTGGAGTAATCTTCAAATGTATCTTCTAAAAATCTGTTAAAGCGAGCTAAACACATTAAATCACTATTCTGCATATTAAGCTTTGATAAGCTTTAAAGTTCCCTCAAAGAGCTTTCGAATTGCATTAAAGAATAGCGCTTTAAGTTACTTTTCGACTTAATAGGCTTTCAAGGGCCTTAAAGCTTACTTTAAAAGCTTTTATATCGCAGTCGATGTGAAAGCTTTAAGTTAATTTTCGGTTCATTGGGCTTAACGAGTCTTAAAGTTCCCTAAAAGCGCTTTGTAGCCACATTAAATATTTAGGCTGTTAAACTGAACCAAAGCTTCAAACTCTGCGACGAGCTTTAAACATGCTGTTGTTGCTTAAAGCTGCACTGAGCGCATCTTGCAATAACTAGCTTTCCAACTATATTTTAGCATCAATATGTAATACAGCCTTTTGATCTTCTTAAATCAAACTTTAAGCTTAGATTAATATAAATGCCTCTCAGGTAAATATTGGGTCTAAAAAAGCTTTGAAGTCTAACTTAAAGCACGTATTCGGTGTCTCCAATAAGGCCTCTATTTTTCGAACCCAAATTTTTGTGCCAGTGTATGCAAATATATACATTTTGAAACGCGGCCACAAACGACGAGACATTTGTTTATGTTGATAATTTAATAAGAGCACCGCTGGAGGGCAATGTATGGCAAGGGGAGCACGTGAAAGGGGCACGGGGGCTAGCACAGATGAGCAGCCAGTTGTTGCGGGCGTCACACGTGACGTATGCGCAATGCCCGCCCGCCTGCAACTTTTTGCCAATGAGCGATTTCTAGCTGCGTTTGCTGCTGCTGCACGTTAATTTGCGAGCACTTGCGCGGCATGCCAAGGTCGGGTTTGTCGGCTGTCGTTGTCTGCATTTATAAATAAATTCGCTGTGTGGCAAATAAATAATTAAATAGATATGCATACATTGTGGGGCGATCGTTGTAATTAAAGGCGCGCATGTCGTATACGTAATTTCAGACACCCCACTTCCCCCCCACTGCCCGCCGAAACAGCCCCAACAAACGGGGCGGACCCACGGCAGCGATCCTCGGGCCAAAGCTCCTACAGCAAAACAAAAATTGAAGTGAAAAAATGAGGAAAAAAGAAATTCAACCGCAGTCAACGTTGTTGTTGACACTTTTGCTGTTAGTCATTATTTGTTGTTGTTGTTGTTCTCGTTGTTGTTGTTGTTCTCGTTGTTGTTGTCGTTGTTGTTGTTGTTGATAAGCAGACTGTGTCGAGACAACAAAAGACGCAGACGATTGCCACTTGCGCACAAATATACAAAGTATGTCCCCACACATTCACACACAACCAAACACACACCCAAACACACACCCAAATACACACACACCCAAACACACACACGCACTCACACACTCGCACTGATTTGCATGTGCCCCATTGTTGTTGCTCTGATATTTTTAGCCTACCGTCAGCTACTTGAGGCAGCTGCAACTGCCTCGCAAGAGGAAAAAATAAAAATAAAGAAAGAGTAGCCAAATGCCACAATTGCATTCGCAAACGCAATCGCAATTGCATTTTGTCGGCAACGGCCCAGACAATGCGTCTAGTCATTCAGTCAGTCAGTCAATCAGTTGATGCACTCGATAAGGCCCTCTCCCTCTCTCTCCCTCTCCCTCCCCCTCTCTCTCACTCTCTCCTTGTGTAACGCGCTCACATGAATCACATGATGAATGACTTTTGCTGTTGCATTGAGCAATCGCTGAATGCATTGATTAGGGCTCCATTTGTAATGCTGAGCAGCCAAAAAAATAAGAAAAAAAAAAAAATCACTCTAAATGAACAAACAATAGAGAGCCAAGGAGAGAGAGCGAGACAGGTAGGGTCTGTGGAAAGAGAGCGCATGCCTTTAGCCATCAATCATAAAAGTTAAGACAGCCATTGTCTGGCTGATGGCAACTGCAACAGGTTTTCCGCTTTAGATACTATGGAATATTTTATGTAATTTTCGCTTAAATTAAACAATTTTGCATACAGAATAAATTTAAAAAATATGGAATAACAATTCTTTTCTTTTTCAGCACTTGTGATGGATTTTTCGTCGAAATATTGTATAATATGGCAGGGTAAGTCAAACGTTATTTATATTTTCACAGTATATCATATTTATACCATTTGCTTTTCTACACTTATTTCGCTGCATATATTCACATCTCTAAACATTTTCTCAAGCTTCATAGTGCATTTTCCTGCACTAAAATAATACTTAGTTAATATTCCAACATTTACTTCCATTGTGAGCTTTGTGCAATATCCCATACAAGGCTTATATTCTATTTTAATTACATGTTTTCGTACGCAATTCATTTGGTTAAGATTCATAGCTTATTTTCCAACACCAAAATTAAGTCTTATTCATTTACCAGCACTTACAGTTGTTGCCAGTTACATTCTGCAAGATTTCTATTTTTATTTCAATTATAAATTATGCACTTAATTTCTGCATAGCTCATTTTCTAACACCAAAATTATTTTTCGGGGACTTACCAACACTTACATACATACTAGGTTTTTATTAGTATTTCAATTGTGTTGTCTACACCAATAACATCTTTAGTTCATTAACCAACACTATATTTTCTATTTCTTTTTGGAGTTTCGTATACATTCAATTCTCTGCACTTATTTGCTACACTTATTTCTTTTTACCAACACTCGTACGTGCTTCTAGTGTTGTCAACTGTGCAATATATTATATTGCACTTGTTTGTATTTATATTAACTGCTCGCTTATGCAAATTTACTATCCCAGCTTATACCCTTTTATACGCCTCTTTAGTTAATTTGCCAACACCTTAACAAACTGTAATTTAATTTACCAACACTCAAAACGAGGCAAGGTCGCCTTCAACTGTAACCTTACAGCTTCCACGTCGTTAATTACTTTCTGTTGGACACATTTTCTTGCTCATCGATTTACTTTGATCTTTCAATGCAAAATTTCGTTATGGGAAGCATTTAATTATGCCATTTATCCATTGTACAATAGGCACAATGGGCAGCGCCTGCTAATGAATTTTCAATGCGAAGCTCAATGGAGCTCATTAAAGGCTCGATGATGAGAGTCAACAACAATGGCCAGCCCAACGGGAACCCGGCTGCAGCTCTGAGTCATAACTCATTGAACTTTTGCCGGCAGCCGACAATTGCAACGGGCTACAGGCAACGGGCAATGGCCACCGACAGCCACAACATAAAAAATGTCAATCAGCGCCAGCTAACTGATTCCAACCCGATCCGTGCCCCTCTGTGGTCTACATGCAACGAGTGTGATGACGCCTTAAGCACATTAGAAGCGACGCCAAGTGCTGTCAGCAGCCGGCAGAGTCGTAAATGTGGTAATAATAGTCGTCGCCGTGGGGCCCATATTGGTGGGTGTCGAAAGGCAAGACATAAATGTCGAAACATATGTTTAGACGTTGCTCCTCCTTTGTCCAGCACAGAACCGCACAGCACAGGACAGGTCTATTACCAAGTGCTGCTCATCGTATATGCCGGGAATATTCGACACCCAACGCCAATGGCTTTTGTCTCGTCTATGTCTATGTCTATGTCCATGTGTGTGGTCCAGACGCGGGGGCATCTGCTGTAGCTAGCTCGTAAATGGGAAAATATGAAACGCTCAAATGGTTGCCAGCACTTTAACAGTTTGTTGTTTAGTTCAGTTTGTCAGTGTTGGAAAACTACCAAAGTGATGCAGCTTTAATAACTAAAAATGCAATAAAGCTTCCATGTGTTTGAGATTATGTCAAGTGTTATAAGCTTTTGAAAGCTTTCTTCAAACTGTTTGGCTTCTCTTCCAATGAGATTGAGCTCTCTAAATAAGCTCTCTTACCGCACAGTTAATGTGATTAATCGAAACATAAACTAATATTTTAATCCAATGCCATTATAATCTCTGAAAGCTCTCTGTCTCTGGCTGCATAGCTTAAAGGTTTTCTAATCTTAAAAGATTTTCATGAATATTTAGGGAACACTCTTTTTAGACAGTAAAGCTCTTAGGAGCTTTTAAAAGCTTTTATTTGTTGTTCTCCAGAGTTGTTTTAGAGAACTTTTAGTAACTATGACGTTTGCTGACATTCCTTGCTTAATGTAAATGAAATGTGAATAAACCTTTAATGTGCTTTTGAAAGCTGTTGCTTAACTTTGTTCTGTATTTCAATGAAACTGATTTCGTACAGAGAACACCGAGAACAGTTAAACAATGACATATTCCGCAATTAATCAAAAAGCTTTATTCATATAAAGCAAATGTCATTGTAGCATAACTAGTCGAAGAGTAAGACATATGAAGCTGATTACATTTAATATGATGACAAATGAATAAGAAGGGAAAGGACAACGGCTGCAGCCGAGCAATGGCAGGAAGCCAACAAGGTAAAGGATGCACAGGACCAGTCAGACAATTCGAAAACTGGGAAGGGACGCACAAATAAGGTGCTGAAAGTCAAAGACTTGTGCTAACCATAATAGACAACGTGCTCATTATACAAATTGCACCGAGCCGAAAGACAACCCAAGATGAAGCAACTGTAGGGCCTGAAACCCTTAGCTAAAGAAGGTCTCGGTCTGGTCTGGACTGTGGTCTCCGTCTCTGGTCTCGTCTGGTCGGGATGATGTTGACTCGGTGAATGAAACGTTGACGGAATGACAGAATTCTTAAGAGAAAACACTCGACACAATTGGACAACGGACACAAACGGACAAAACAACCTGAATTCAAATTCAAATGAAGCTGAAAGCTAAAAAGAATCTATTAAGATGTTATCAGTCGGAGACTGAGGGCTAAGGAATGAAAACTGCATGCGTTGGCAAGTAGGGCGGGGCGCAGGGTAGGGTTTTGGGTTGGGGCAAGAAGTGTAATCAGTGCGACGAAAAGCCGTGCAATTGTTGCAGACGTCAATTTGGGTCGGGGCGGCAGATAGAGAGAAAGAGAGACGGAGAGATGGAGAGGGAGCGACTGCAGAGCCACAATTGCGGCCATTAGTGCAGAGGCGTGCTGTTAGCAGGGGCAAGAGGGTTAACAGAGGGAACTGTGACGTATCAACCCTTTTGTCGCAGTAGACATTTTTCGTATGACAACGACAAATATTTGCCGGATAATATGAATAACAAAGCAGGCATAGAACAGGGCGGTCGCTGGAACTGAAGGGGGGTGGATTGGAGAGGGGGGGGAGGGCAAAGGGTGCTCAGACTAGGCAGCCAGGCAGGCAACCTACTTAAGCCAAAACCAGGCACAGACCAGACCCGGCACAGACCAGACGCAGACCCAGACCCGACCCGACCAGACGTTGACTACAACTTAAACTAAAAGGCCGCCTGGGCAAAGTTGTTGTTGTTGTCGCTTGTTGTCGCCGGTGTCTGAGACGCAGACAACTTCAAAGCTGGAGCTGGAAACTGTTTTGTGCCGGGGAGTAAGCAGGTTGTAGGCTGACGGTGAGAACCAGAGCGGTGCGGGGCGCAGGAAGCCCAGACGTAGACGAATTGCTGACTGACACAAAAGTGCTTTTGTTGCAAGGTTTAATGAAGAAGAAGCCAGAGGAGAGAGCAGGGAGAAGCGGCTAGCAAGTGCAAAAGAGAGAGCGAGAGAGAGAGATAATGGGAGAGAGAGCAAAAGAGAGGGAGATTTGTGAGCGAAAGAGAGCACAAGGGGAGCAGCTGTGTCTCATCGAATTATCCATCCATTCAATGTCCTGTGAAATGCACTTCAGGGCAGAACAGAGACTCGGGCCCAGACGTTCGTGACATAAAGCTAAATGCTGCGACACCCGAATTGTGGGCACGGCCCGATGTCCCATAAGTTCGGCCCCTGGCAAGAGCATGTCAAAGTCTATAGCCCAAAAAAAACCAACTGAAAAACAAAAAAATAAACAAAAGGAGACAAGAAAGGAAAACAACAAAATGTATGCGCAGGCCCAAACGACTGCAGCGGCGGGCGAGGCTGCTCGACTGAGAGATACCCTCTAAATATGCTCATTTCAGAAAAATGGAAATATTTCTCTTCTGTGAAATATTCTGCTTCTGCTTATCGTAAAAAGGTACAAAGTCGATTTATATTAAATTTGTAAAAATTTCAACCTGCGTAGTCCCTTTCTATTTGACTAGTCTGTAACTTCAAGAGACCCTCTTTTAGCTGCACTCAATGTTTACAGGGTATTAAAAACAAAATAAATGCCAAGCCCAAGCGACTGCAGTGCACAGACACACGTACACACACACACACACACACGGGCAAAAAATGCATGCTGCGCTCGTTTAGCCCTTCTGCCTACCCTCCCCCCCAGTCCCGTACCCTGTACCCTGCACCTCCTACTGCTGGTTTCCAGTTTTTGCCCTGCTGCTGCTGCTCCGGCTGCGGCTGCTGCACTTCAGACGCTGCTTTGTTGCAGCCAAGAGCGCCGTCAACGGCGGCGGCCAACAATCGACACACGCAGACAGACAGACAGACAGAGAGAGAGAGAGAGAGAGAGAGAGAGCCAGGGGTGACTGCTGCATGTGAGCAGGAGAAGGTGGGCGGGGTAGAGGGGAGGTATATATGCAGGCCAGACCGTGGCACAGACAAAACAATATGTTTGTTTGGATTATATCGGAGCTGCGCCGCGCTGCGACACGGACGCGACGCGTTCTTTGTATGCGCAAACAATTGGAGCAGGCGGAAGTTGGATGACGGCGGCGACGGGGCGGGACAGCACAGTCGATGCGGCAGGGGCAGGGGCAGGGGCAGGAGAACTGAGTGCAGCCGACGCGACGGTTGTCCCGGGCAACCGCCAGAGGAGTGGCAGAGTCTCGCATGCATGCAGCTTTGCATGCACTTTCCCCCCCACTTGCCCCCTTAGCTGCCTTACCGCCTACCCCGTACCCCGTATCCATCAAGTGCCCAGTCACGACTGCGTCTGGGCAGAAGCACCTTGAAAGTTTTTCGCCTTGCGCCTTGATTAACTGTCAGTGCCTGAAAAGTGATTTAATCAAGGATCCAGCCACAAAACTGGCGGCAACATGTGCACCATATGGCTAACTGACTGACTAACTGACTCTATGGCTCCAGCTTCAGCTGCAGCTCCTGCTG